TCATCAGATTCTTTTTTTAAGTTTATGTGTTTTTTTTTTTTTTTTTTAATTTTCAGAGACAGAGAAGGAGCACACAAGCAGGGGAGGAGCAGAAAGAGAGAGAGAGAGAGAGGGCACACATGAGAGAATCCCAAGCAGGCTCCCCACTGTCAGCGCAGGGCCCTCTGTGGGGCTTGAACTCACAAACTGTGAGTTCATGACCCCAGCTGAAATCAAGAGCCCAACGCTTAACCGACTGAGCCACTCAGGCATCCTAAGTTTCCATTAGATTCTTTTTTTGTTGAGTTTATTTATTTATTTTGAGAGAGAGGGAGAGAGAATCCCAAGCAGACTCCACACTGTCAGTGCAGAGCCAGATGCAGAGTCTGAACCCACGAACCATGAGATCATGATCTGAGCAGAAACCAAGAGTTTGATGCTTAACCGACTGAGCCACCCAGGCACTCCTTCATTAGATTCTTTTTTTTTTATTAATCTGAACAGTAACCCTTTTATTTTGAAAACAAATGTATTTCTCCCCAATCTCTTCTTCCCACTAACCATAGTATTTTCTGGAGGTTCATTTCTTTTTTTTTTTTTTTAAAGTCTTGCCATCTATTTTTTTTTTTTTTACAAATAGTTTATTGTCAAGTTGGTTGGTTTCCATATAACACCCAGTGCTCATCCCCACAAGTGCCCTGCTCCATGCCCATCTCTCCCTCCTCCCCACACCCATCAGTCCTCGGTTTGTTCTCATCATTCAAGAGTCTCTCATGGTTTGCCTCTCTCCCTCTCCCCCACCATTAACCCCCTTCTTCTCCCCCATGGTCATCTGTTAAGTTCCTCCTAATCCTCCTATACATGCAAACATGTGGTATTTGTCCTTCTCTGCCTGATTTATTTCGCTCAGCATAACACCCTCAAGGTCCATCCATATTGCTACACATGGCCACATTTCATTCTTTCTCATTGCCATGTAGTATTCCATCGTATAGATAAACCACATCTTCTTGACCCATTCGTCTGTTGATGGACACTTAGGCTCTTTCCATGTTTTGGCTATTGTGGAGAGTGCTGCTATGAACATTGGGGTACATGTGCTCCTATGCATCAGCATTTCTATATCCCTTGGGTAAATTCCTAGCAGTGGTATTGCTGGGTCATAGGGGAGTTCTATTGTTAATTTTTTGAGGAACCTCCTCACTGTTTTCCAGAAGGGCTGCACCAGTTTACATTCCCTCCTTCATTAGATTCTTAAAGGAGTTGCTGATGTAGGAAAAGGGGAGAACTGCTGGAATGCGAATATATAAGGTCACCCACAGGCACTAAAAATAGTGCCTACTCTGGGCCAAAATCTTTCATGTTTTGTTTTATCCCAAACTTGTGGAGTACTAGCTAGCCATATTCTCAATTTACACACCAGACGGTTAGCCTCTGGGAGGCCAAGGGACCCGGTTCAGGTGGTAGAGCTGAGCCTTGAACCCACATGTGTGCTCAGAGCAGCTCTGTGTGTCCCCAGCCACCCACCATTCCTGTCCCAGCTCCCCATCACAGGATGCACAATCCGGCCTTCTCTCACACACATTCTGGCTCTGTCACCCTGGAATGCTCTATAATTTTTATTAAATTTCATTTTTCCTTTCCAGTTTGGGCTAATCTCTTTGAGTAACATGTTTCTTCCTGCTGTAGCACACAAAATTCTTTTGCTCTATTATAAACTGTGTCTTTCTTCTTCAAGGTGGACCTGGAGTCTTAAAACCCTGGACTCTGATGAATAACATTGAATTTGTTTTCTTTGTCCATGTGTTCAGATTTCTAAATGTCATACATCAAGGTGTTAACTATTTAATACCTCTGCTAATAGTAGCTATGGTTCATCGTATGTTTCCAAGTGACTGACGTAGTGCTGATTTGTACTCATGATCTTATTCCATCTGCCTAATGTCCCTCTGAGGCAGGTACTATTATTATCCTTATTTTATAGTTAAGGAAACTGAGGTTTACACCTGTGACGTGAGCTGCCCAAGGTCACATAGCTACTAAATGGTAGAGGTGGGCTTTAAACCTAGATCTGGAGGATTAATTACTACCCCATCTTGCCAAGCTACTTGCCTCTTTGGTTGGCAGATATATCCTTGTGCGTGTCTCAGTGGTGACAATGACCTAGTCACGTTTGGGTGGCTAGAGAGGATTGAGTAGGAAGGCTTTGTTGCCAGTTGGGAGGTCAAAGTAAAGAGGACCTGTTTTCTTCCCCAAGGGCTCTTGAATTTCAGGCCCTCTCTGGGCAGGATCACAGTGAGATGACCTGAAGAGGTAGCATAATGCAGACTCTGGCTGGGGTCAGATCTGGAACCCAGCACCCTATGAGGATGTGAGCCACTGCTTGGCCAACCTTCCTTCTGGAAGAAGGCAGGAGGCTGCTGCTGAGTCCCTGTGTCACCTGGTGGCCTCCAAATACTAGGGATGTGTGAGGTCATCAGAACCGAGCAGCTCAGGAAATGCCTTTGGTGCTTGTGGCTTTAGATATATGTGGTCCAAATGGTAACTTACACCTGCCCAGTGAGTCACAATTCAGGGTCTACACCACAGTTACCTCATTGAATCCTTTGTGCTTTTTGGTAGGCTGTGATGATCATGGTCATTTGATAGATGGGAAAACAGACCAAAAGAGGCAGGGTGAATTGTTCAAGGTTACACAGAGCCAAGAGCTGAACCCAGGTCCTACTGACTTCAAGTTCCACTCACTTGCACTACACCAGTGATTCCCAGACCTCATTCTGTGGAGCCTTAGGGTGCTTGGTGCAGGCCAGAGGGAGGGGCTCAGGAGGATGGCAGTCAAGGGGCTCAGGTTCTGCTTCCCTTTCCTTCTTCACTCTGGGCCTCAATGATGTCAGGATCTGTGTAAGGCCTGTTTGGAAGATTTATGTTGCTAACAAAATGTTTTCAGAGGACTGCTCCAAACTGTTTCTTCTTCCCTGGAAATTGGGTCCAGGCTCTTCTTTTTTTAGGACTCTTTTATCTGTATTGAGGCAAGAAAAAAAATCTGCTCTCTGTTAGCCGGATGTACTCAACCCCAACATGGCAACACAAGGGAGTATAAGAGGTATGGACACAGAGGCAGCAGACTGGGGTCCTAGTCCTAGTTTAGTGTTGCATAGTCAAGTTTTCTACCTCAGTCTCCCTATCTGTAAAGATGAGGGATTAGTTTAGAGAATTCTAAATGCCAATTTTGCTCAAATAAACTGTGGATCTAGGGTATCATGCTTGGTTCATGACATCTGAAGCAGGGATGAGTCACTTGAAATTGTATAAAAATATTATATATCTATATCTATAGATATATACTTAATTTTTTTCCTGGAAAGGGAAAGTATAGCTTTCATCGGAGTCTCAAAGGTGTCTCTGACATAGAATACCTAGCCTCTCAGGACTTCCTTCCTCCCTCCCTTCCTTCCTTCCTTCCTTCCTCCCTCCTTCCCTCTCACTCTTCCTTCCTTCCTCTTGTCAACTGGTGGGAGATATTTCTCCTTTTGGGGGGAGGGGGTTTAAGTTGTAAGAATGGTGTGAGAAAGCTATTTTTCAGAAGCAGGGAGAGATAAGCATAGCTGAAAATTGAAAGCTAAATAAAAGCATCAGAAACTGTGAACAACTGGACAAGCTTGTTTAAACTTCTGGATGCAGCCATGCCTGATACCCCTACATTTTCAATTACATGAACAATTGCTCCTTTTTCACTAAGCCTTTTCTATTTCAATCACCTACAGAATAAATGATTGATGTGCTAACATTGTAAGAGAAGGTTCTTGCCATTTGCAAAAGTATGAAGCTCAGCATAGAAAAACAAAGTGGGAAGAGAAAGGATTGAGGCGAGTGTGTTCCTGTCATGCTTTTTTTGAATTTCAGGGAAGAAGAATGTTTTCTGCTTTGTTCCCCATCCTTTATTTGTTGTTAGCAAACTGGAGGCTTTCAGAGGCAGGAAAGATGTTAGAATCAATCCCATCATTAGAGATGTGAAACCAAGATTCAGAAAGGGAATGGGACTTTCTCCAACTCCTATGGTAAATCAGTAGAAGGCCTGAGGCTAAAAGGGAGGTTACCTTGTCCCAGGTATGTGCCACCTCTCTGTGTGACTTTCCTCAGTGCTTCTCTCTCAGGCAGGCTCCTCAGCAGAGCTTATGAGGGTTCCTGTGCTCACGTGTGTTGCTTTGGTACACCGATCATATCTTATCCAGAACATTCTTCAGGGTTTCTTTTTTGGTTTCATGGACACAGGTAAACAACGGAGTGTTTGGCCTACAGGGATGTGGGGCAGGAGGATTAGATACTGCTAACGGTCAAAAATAGGCAGGCACAACTTATGGGACAAATCCACGGGGTCACTTTCAGCCACAGCGTCAGATCTGTTTAGCCCTGGAGGGCAGTAATGGCAAAGGTGGAAGTGGGGCCGAGGGGCACAGGCCCAATGGTCCTGGCGGCGACAAACCTCAAGGGGAGGAAGGAGATTCCAGATCCTGCCTACCCCTCGGTTCACAAACTACTCAAAGGCGCACAGGAGAAATGACTTTTAATGTCCGGTTTGTTTGCAACCCCGCCCAGGTGCCATCATTCAGTGAAGTACAAGGAGGGGCTTGAGAGGTACGAAGTCACGGAGACAAGGGACGCCCCCCGCGGCCTCCCGGGCGCGCACTCGCTCCGCCCCCGCAGACGGGCGGCCCCACGCACGCACACATGCAGACCCCACGGACACCGCACAGACACACGCACGTGTACCCACGGTTAAATACATGTACAGAGGAACTCCGTCGGGATATGTACAGAGAGAGAGACGGAAATCCCGGCCCGCGTCGGGTCCCCCAGGCTCTCAGCATGCTCGGCCCAGCTCTCCGCGCCGTGCCTGGCACCCATGCCCCTGCCAGAAAAGCAGCTGCCCCTCTCCCCGCCCCCCGCCCCCCGTGCCCCCCGGGGCCCGCGCCTCCGGGCGCCGGCGCCCCTCCCCCCCCTCCGCCCGCCCTCCCCCCGCGACGGTTTCTCCCCCCTCCCCGGGGCCCTAGAACTGCCCGGGCGCCAGGGGCATGTTGGTTTTGAAGCCGGGCTGCCCGTTGGCCACGTCGGGCGCCGCCTCGCAGCCGCCGTCGCTGGCGCCGCCGTCGGCCCCGGGGCTCTCGGGCTCGGACAGGAGCCTGAAGGTGAAGAGCGGGCCCGACTCGCGGCGGCCGCGGCGGCCGGGGGGCTCGGGCGCGGGCAGGCTCAGGAGCGCGCCGGGCGCCTTCCACTCCGGGAAGGCGCACAGCTCGACGGGCGGCGGCGCGCCGCGGCCCAGGTAGCCGGGGCTGGGCGAGGCCGAGGGCAGGGTCCGCTGGCTGCCGCTGAGGCAGCTGCCGCTGTCGTCCAGCGAGTCCTTGCGCGACTGCGAGCGCTCCAGGGAGCCGCCGCGCGTCCACGGCCGGTAGGTGTAGGCGCGGCCGCCCAGGCGGCGGCGGCGGCGGCGGCGGCGGCGGCGGCCGCGGCACTGGCACCCGAGGATGCGCACGAAGGCGCGCTTGAACTCCTTGCTGGAGCACGGGTAGATGATGGGGTTGAGGCAGCTGTTGAAGTAGCCCAGCCAGAACACCACCTTGAACACGGCGTCGGGGGGCTTCAGGGTGGAGAACAGGGAGCCTGCAGGGGGAGGGGTGGGGCGGGCACGGGCAGAAAGACAGACAGCAGCGTGTGAGTAGTCAGGCCCTTTCCTCCGAGTGCTTCGCCTAGACGCCGCGCCCGGGCAGCGCTCCCGCCGCCACGACTGTGCCCAGGTCCCCTTTCTCTGCCTGGAGTGCTCGCCTTTCCATCTCCAAGAGAGAGAATCCGACATTGTTTTTTAGGGCCAACCTACAATCTTTCCCGGTTTAGCTGACCAGCACCGAAACTCCCATTTCTCTAGATATCCCAGGACAGCGCTTACCACTTTCTATTCCAGTGATAATAATCATCACACGCAGCTGCACAGCTCTTGGGTCAAAGGCATTGGGCTAGGCGCTTTAGCTATATAGTTTTGTCCTACAAAAGGCATTGAAGCCGACGCCGATCTGTTTCCATAGCAAATACGAGAGGTATTAAAGACCTACATGTGAAAGGCAAAAGTTATTTAAGGGTAAAAGGCAAAGTAAAGAACGATCTTTTTGATCTAGGGCTGAAAGAAAAACGTCTTAACACTTCAAAAAGATAAACTTGAGGCAAGGGTGGGAGAAGTTATTTATAATATTTAAGACAGTCAAGCGACCGGTATTTAGAATATATAAGGAACTCCTGCAAATCAACAAGAAAAAGAGCATTCCCAGTAGAAATGTGGGCTAAGAAAATGAACAGGCAATTTACAAAACGGGAAACTCTGGGGGCTAGTGAACCAGGCTACTCAAAATATCAGGGAGTCAAAATAAGTAAGAATGAAAACCATGGAGATATATCTGTTAGGTTTGCAAAAATCAGGGAGCCAGAGAGTGCCAAGTGTGGGCAGGGGTGTGGGACATGGAGAGCCTCCTGCCTGGCTGGCGGGGAGCACAGGCTGTGAAGCCGTACTGGAGAAGGTTCTGGCACCACTTGGTCTAATTAAGTATGTACATATATCGCTTAACCGGGCAGTTCTGCTTCAGGTCATAGATCTCAAAGACTTTTCACACACGTCCACAAGGGAATACGTATGAGTATGCTGAGAGCAGTGTGGCTTGTGGTGATGGAGAGTTGGAGAGAACCTTGCTGTCCCTTGCTGAGAATTATGGAAAGGTAGCCTGGGGTAGGTGCCCAGCACAGAGATCATGTGGCACGTAGATAAGGCCCTGGATCGCATGTCCATACAGAAACGTGGAAAGGCTTAAAAACAGCTTTCCTTTCGAACAAAGTAGGAAACAGAATTGAGATTTACAACATAATACTATTTAAGTAACACCCCAGACCACCCCATGCGTTTTGCAAAAAACACTTTCAAAAAAATGTCGAACACCAAATGGTTGCCTAAGGGGGTAGGTAGAAGGAAATGGGAATAAAAGGCAATAAATCAATGAAATAAGAGAGAGGCCTTACAATGAGGTACTATGATGGAGAAACATGATTAACTCATCCCTGTAATTTGAGGTCCAAAAACATTTTATGGCACTGTTAAATTAAAAACAATTTCCATTTTAAATGCAAGGCAGCTAAGACTTGGAGAGGGTAAATGACTTGCCCCAGGTTACACAGTATGTTTGTAGTATAGCTATGATTCAAACTAAAGTCTGTTTGAATACAAAATATGTGTTTTTAATGCTATTAATAATATCCTTGGTGGAAAAATGAGAAAATACAAAAAGAAAAAAGAAGGAAAGAAAAAACATTTTAAAAGCACGCATAACTCTGCAATGCAGAAGAAATCACATTTGGTGCATATACCTTCAGACTTTTTTCTCTGTTGTATATATATCTTTAAATGTTTTGATATATGGAATTATACTTTATAGGACATTTTGCTATTTCAAACCATGTTCCCTAACCCTGCCACTAAGTACAGTGACTTTCATATTCCTGTCTTATTTCCTCTGTTTAAACTGTGAGCTTCCCAAGGACCTGGTCTTCTGGATCAACTTTGATTCCATTTGGTGAATGAGAAGCACACACTCCTAGAATATCTGAATGGGGGTGGAGGGAGATCTTAGCAATCACAAATCCAAGCTCCTCTTTTGCAGATAGAAACACTGAGACCAGAGAGTGGCTGAAAGTGCCAGGGGCTGTGGCATTGATGCCACAGGATTTCTAGCTCTGATTTTGGGCTACACTTGAGCTTCCCTATTGTTTGCCTGTTGTTATAGGGAGCCTTCTAGGTCGCTGCTTAGCAAGTCAAGAATGGTGGTAGTGGTAGGAGAGGGTGGGGAGATGGCTGGGCTCCTGGTGCAGGGCTAAGCCAGGCAAAGGTTTGCATTATTTGTATCCAGGTGTAAGTGCTAATGTTTTTAAGGTTTATTTGTATATTTTGAGAGAGACAGAGACAGCACAAGTGGGGGGAGGTATAGAGAGAGAGAGGGAGAGAGAGAGAGAGAGAGAGAGAATCCCAAGGAAGCTCTGCACTGGCAGCACAGAGCCTGATGCGGGGCTTGAACTCATGAAACCATGAGACTGTGACCTGAGTAGAAATCAAGAGTCAGATGCTTAACCGGCTGAGCCACCCGGGTGCCCCTAAAAAGTTTATTTATTTATTTTGAGAGAGAGAAAGAGAGAGAGAGAATCCCAAGCAGTCTCTGCACTGTCAGCACAGAGGCCGACTTGGTGCTCAATCCATGAGATCATTATTTGAGCTGAAATCAAGAATCGGAGGCTCAACTGACTAATCCACCCAGGTGTCCCTGATGTAAGTGCTCATTATATGTACACTGATTCTTTTCTTCTTTTTTTAAGTTTATTTATTGACACAATCTCCATACCCAACGTGGGCTCGAACTCATGACCCTGAGATCAAGAGCAGCATGGTCTACTGACTGAGCCAGACAGGCACCCCACTACACTGATTCTTTTCCCAACTCAGGGGGAAATGTGGGAGTGGGTTACATTCTGCATCTGCTTTAGGTGAGGCAGTTGAGGGCGCCACTTCTTGGTCTGATTTGTGACAAGGCCAGCGCCATTAGGTTTTCACCCCACCATCCCACATACCCCTTTGGACTATGATACTATACGGAAGGCCCCAGTTGGAATGCACATACATGGCATGTGAACAGCTAGTATCCATTACAGAATGAGTTGTCTCTGTCCATGCGGAAGGCCTTGTTTCTGTCACTGAGTCTGGAGGGGATAGGCACTGGTCTTGACAACATGGAAACTGGAAAATAAATTTTGGGGAGAAGTGGAGAGAGGGAAGAAAAGCTTGGAAGCCTTGCATGTTACCCTAGAGGGTAAATGCTGATAAGTGTGTGTACGGGTAGGCACCTGGTCTTTTATTTATTTTTTCTTAAATAGTTTATTGTCAAGTTGGTTTCCATATAACACCCAGTGCTCATCCCCACAAGTGCCCTCCTCCATGCCCATCACCCCCCCACCCCCATCAGCCCTCAGTTCTCAGCATTCAAGAGTCTCTCATGGTTTGCCTCCCTCCCTCTCCCCAACTTTTCCCCTCCTTCTCCCCCATGGTCCTCCGTTACGTTCCCCCTAATCCTCCTATACGTGCAAACATATGGTATCTCTCCTTCTCTGCCTGACTTATTTCACTCAGCATAACAGCCTCAAGTTCATTCCATGTTGCTACACATGGCCAGATTTCATTCTTTCTCATTGCCATGTAGTATTCCATCATATAAATAAACCACATCTTGATCCATTCATCTGTTGATGGACACTTAGGCTCTTTCCGTGTTTTGGCTATTGTTGAGAGTGCTGCTATGAACATTGGGGGACATGTGCCCCTATGCATCAGCACTCCTTTATCCCTTGGGTAAATTGCTAGCAGTGGGGTCATAGGGTAGTTCTATTGTTAGTTTTTTGAGGAACCTCCACAGTGTTTTCCAGAGGAGCTGCACCAGTTTATGTTCCTACCAACAGTGTAGGAGGGGCACCCAGTCTTAATGAGGACACGTAGGGTCTAGGATAGAGGCTAGGGATGCACAGAATGTCATGGCAAATGTGAGGAGGATCAAGAACTGGGGAGCATGCTTGCTCAAAACAAACTCACAGCTTTGCTTGCCAGCCCCATCGAAGATGACAGTAAAATAGGCAATAAATGGCTTAATGGGGATGCACCCTTAGGGACTGGCTCTTTTAAAGGGTACACAAAAAACAATAATGCTAACGGCTAATATTCACCAGAACTACTGTTTATATTGTGCGTGTGCTCTGTAAAGGACTTGCGCTAAACTCTTTATACCATTAGTGCATTTAATTATCACAATAATCCCTTGTTGAAGGTACTGTTATTGGTCCCATTTTAGACATTAAGACATCAACATATGATAGTGCCTGCTATTTACATTTTCATACACCTGTTCATCTGTTTGTTCATTCACTCATTCCACAAATACTGAGCTCCTGCTACATGCCAGGCATGAGGCCAAGGTGAGGGGGATACTTAGATGAATTGGGGTGTGGTCTCTGCCCCATGGCAGCCCACAGGCATGTGGGGAGAGAGCTGTGTTAACAGGTCATTGCCACAGAACACACATGGCATTATGATAGAGGCATAAATGTCACTCTATCTCCCTATGCCCAAGTGACATTTCTGTCTGGTTCTTCTTCACCTCCATTGTATTGGAAGCCTCTTATCAAGGACAATGATGGGCTGGATCTCTGCCTTTATTTTCTTACAAAGTACTCTTCAAGCACTATGGCTCTGAGAAGTGTTCAACCAAAAGTAGGGGATGATGCTAGATTTTTTCGTAACATTTATTTACAACCACATTGTGAGTTTGGACTCCCCGAGCCACTTGTTCCTCTGAGAAGAAGATCATTCTTTGCCTTCCATTCTCTGGCTGCCTTTTGTCACCCTTCTGCTGATTTAGGCAGTGTGATTCTGTGGCTTGAGCACAGGGTTTGGGATCACACAAGGTTCCGAACCCCCCCCTTTTTTTTTTTGCATGTACTGGCTGTTTGACATTAGAAAAGTTAATTAGCCCTCTCAGACTCAATGTTCTCGTCCATAAATTGGGGACAATATCTGTTCCTTATTCTGA